GAGGTCACACACTGATGTTGGACGAGTTTACGTGGCCTACCATGGCTGAGTTGCTGTTGTTCCCAAACACTTCCACGTTCTTATAATACAGTTGACTGTGGAATATTTAGGAGCGAGGAACTTTCACGACTGGATTTGTTGCACAGGTGGCATCCTATCAGAGTTCCATGTTGGAAGTCACTGAGCTCCTGAGAGCGATCCATTCGTTCACAAATGTTTGTAAACACAGTCTGCATGCCTAGGTACTTGATTTTATACACCTGTGGCCATGGAAGTGATTGGTATTGTATTGTACTTGTATTTATTAGATTTATAGGCCGCCCAATCCCGGAGGACTCCGGGCGGCTATTGGAACACCTGATTCTGATTATTTGGATGGGTGAGCAAATACTTTTGGCAATATAGTGTAGATCTAAGGGCTATTGCTATTGTTATAATAAATAGCTTTAAAGGTGATGACCAAGCCCGTCCAGGAGGATGTCATGGTCATTGTTATTGAAACCTCATGACAGGTCTAGGAGGGATATAATGACTTTACCTTTTCTATCTCAAACCTTTCCAAAGTCCATGAGAAATGCAACCAATACTGTTTTGGTGACATGCTCGAGCCTGACCCCAGACTGAGAAGGGGCCAGGTGTCTTTCTCCGGGTGGCAAAATCAGGGCTGCAAACAGAGAGTTAGTTTAATTTCTAGGCTGCCAACCTTTCATTGCCCTCTTCAGCTGCACTTAGAAGAGATCTAAATCTGCAGCAATGCCTTGAACTCCTCCGCCAGGTAAATTCCTCATATCGATTGCTCACAAAGCTGTCCATAGGACTGGATGGCACATCAGGAAGCAGGGAATCGGTGAAAACATCTTGCAAACCCCTTAGGGTTGAAGTAGCGGAACGGACACGTTCTTCAGCCTTATGGCGCTAGATGGCGCTCTACAAAGAAGCAACATTGGCGCCTAGGAAGCAGGTACGGTACAGCGGCGGCAGAGCAACTCTAGGAAAGCGGGAGAGTCTGGACTGGAACGAGATGAAACGATAGAGCGTTAGTCTTCCCAGAGGATTTATAACGACCCGGCTGTCTACAAGGAGTGTAAATCCTTCCATGCCAGCGCTGAAGAAGCGCTGAAACGTCTTTAAAGAAAAACGGGAAAGTCTAGTTGCCTCCTAAAAAACAATAGCACCTTTGGGAAACCCATGACCTGGATGACTGAGAACCTCCATAGACCGATAGAGTATTGGATTTCTAGAGCGGACTTAGAGAGAGAGAGAGAGAGAGAGAGAGAGAGAGAGAGAGAGAGAG